GACATGAGCCAGTGCCTCTCTGGGGTGCTGGCCCCTCAAGCAGCAGCTTAACCTGCTGTGCCCTAACAATAGCTCCAACAGTGCCTTTCTCTTTAAGGTCGATTGATCTCTGAAGTTTATAGTCCATGTTGTCAGTATATTTATTGCTGAAAAATGATGCAAAGGGATCTTAGTAAAATGTGGGGGGGGATTTGAACATAAAAAAGGGTGTTTGTCTACTTCTAGACCGTCTTCCTGGTTTCACTCATGTTTCCTGAGGTTACTGTTTAAAGGAAAGAAGAAATACTTTGGCTGGTATTGTGGCTTAGGTGGGTTAAATTGCTGCCTATGATGCTGGCATCGCATCTGGGCAGCAGTTTGTGTCCCAGCGAATCTACTTCCAGTCCAGCTCCCTGCTAATGGCTGGAAAAGCAGCACCCACGTGGGAGACCCAGATGAAGCTCCTGGGTCCTGGCTTCTGTCTAGCCCAGCCCTGGTACTGGCTATTTGGGTGGTGAACCAGCAGAGGGAAGATTGGTCCATCTCTCTCCCTGCCATTCCTACCCCCATAGCTCTCTCTTTCGAATAAACCAAATTACCTTTAAGAAAGGAAGAAGAATTAAGAGTTTGTTATTAAGTTCTCTAATTGGGAGCATTTGTAAACACAGTTATGGGACTTAGTTCGTGTTATTTAGATGTTTCTGTCATATTTAACAAACAGTTGCTATTGAAAATACATTAATTTCATTGTTTTTAATAAACTTGTTTCATGTGTAATTTTTCTTAATACGCATTTGAAATTTTTCTTTTTTTTTTCTCTTGCTAGATATAACACGGAAAAGTCCCAGAACACCTCTTTCTGATCTCCAGGGCATGAATGCTCTGAATGAACAAAACCAGCAGTGAGTGTGTTTTCTTTATGTTGACAGGAATGTAAAAGAAGTGCCTCACTTTCCTATTACTTGTGTGCCTTTAAAAGTTTGAAGAAAGTCAGGCTTGGTTTGTTTTCCATTTCTTAAAGCTTCTCTAAATGATATAGCAACAAGTGAATAGGTTAGAATTAGCAAAACGTGTCTAGGGTTGCTTTGGATAAAATGACTATAGAACGTAGGAGCTTCATCTGGCTTACATTCTGAGATCTTGCATTTTACATGTTTTGCAAAATTTAAGGTTTATTCTGCTCTTCTTTGGAACAATCATATTGATAAGTAATAATTGAATAATTTGACTACATAAAAGTTCAATTTACATAATACCTTTTTCTTGGTGAGTGTCATTACCAAAGCTTTTAAAATTTTGTAGTATAAAGCTGATCTTCTGTATATTAAGATAATCGAAAATGAATCTTGATGTGAATGGAAGGGGAGAGGGAGTGGGAAAGGGGAGGGTTGTGGGTGGGAGGGACGGTATGGGGGGGAAGCCATTGTAACCCATGAGTCGTACTTTGGAAATTTATACTCATTAAATAAAAGATAAAAAAAAAATTTTTGTAGTATAGTTTGGAAGCAAGTAAAATTTTCAGAATTAACAAATGAAGATTTGCTTTTACACATATCATTTCATAAATACTGTAATTATATGAGCAAAATAAATTTGAATTTCTGGAGTCTGCCTTACAGACCTTTTAGCAGAACTGAGCCTCTTAGTGTCCTAGATGTCCAGATGGTCTGTAGTTAGAATGGAATTGTAACTGTATGGATCTTTTTTTCCAGTTGAGTGTGTCTCCGTTTCTTTTCTGTGTTGTCACTTGTTTGCTCACTACCTTTGGTATGACTCTTGCTTATTAAGAAGTGTGGTTTCACTCACTCCATATATAGGAGCTGCAAATCCCACGTAGCTGGGCCCACACACATTCATCTCCGGTGCGGACGTACTGGACTGTTTGCCATCTTCATAGTGTATGCCCTTTGTTTTCTTACCAGTGATTCCTAGCTAATGATGTAATCTGCCCTCATATTAGCACGCTAAGTTTTACAAACAAGACAACAGGAGTTGTGAATCTTGACAGTGTAGCTTCACCCCTTCTGTGGCCCCATTGTCACCCTGGTTGGGGATCTGTAACTTAAGAGACCCGTTTTCTTAATTTGGAAAACGACAACTCTATGCCATGCCCCATGTCCCAAAGCAGTTTATTGGGATAAGTCTCCTAACTCCTGTTTTGTGTTTATCTTTGCCCTTTCAGGTGTGGATACCTAAAATGGCCTTTTCTGGCTTTCTGTTTTTACTGTGTTGGTTAGGGTGGTCCAATATTTTAGTTGAGACTAATTGCTGAGGTCACAGCTCAGGCAGTTATGTGTGGAGATCCTCACTGGTTTCTTTGTTGTTTTACTTTGTTTTTGTCCTGTGATGGCTTTATCTTTGGACTGTGCCTCTTAGGCTTAGTGGAGTGCCCACTTTTTCAGTGACTCCCTAGGTGTGTGGTGGGTGTGGCCAGGGAGGTCTCTTCAGTGCTTCTGGGTGAAGGGAGTGTCCAAGGTGACACCCTCAGGTCGGGTGTGCCCATTTTTTTTTTCTCAGAGGGGAGGTTGTTTCCACTCTGTTGGCAGAGTCTCACGCTCACCTCCTCTCCGCTAAGGAAACCAGTGCCTGGGTGCTAGCCCCGGTGGGTATAATATTTGTCTGTGTTTCCACTAGAACCACACAAAGGATCCGTGCAGTCATCTGTACAAGCCCGGATTCCACAGCAGTGACCCTCACCAGGGAATCCCGGGTGCAGCCTCCCACGTGGACTGCCCAGAGTCCCGTGCACACCCTGAGCCCTCCCAAGCAGCCACAGCGTTTTCACAGTCCTGGCACACCAGCTCCCACAGTCGGGACCCCCCAGCCCCTGTCAGTTTTCCCATCCAGACTCAGGCATCTCTGCTCAGCTGCTTTCTGGGCACAGGGGAATGAGCGTCTCAGCTGTTACTCTGTCCAGAATGGCACCCACCTTCCCTCAGCTTGTTACAGGACGCTGATGCAGGGTGGTCGGGAGAGAGAAACGTGCCCCCATTTTTTACCCTCTACTTTGGCATTCCCACCAGACTTCCCACAGCTGTAACTCCAGTGGCTTGGGCTGCTACAGACTGGTCTCCCCTCACTCCAGAGCTGGTCTGAGCTTCTCAGCTGCTGGGGTCCTGAGTTGTGCATGTCCACACCCTCCACACAGGTGCACAGTGTCCCTTCAAATAGCACGAAGTTTGCTCTGCCATTTTCTCCTGAACTCTTCCCTGAGACTGCACTCTCTCCACTTTTTGTTACACTCTCTTCTCCTTGACTAGAGCAGTAAGCTCCCTCCCTATTCTGCCATCTTGGATCTCTCTGTCCGTCTGTATCTTTTTTGAAAAAATATTTGTTTATTTGAATGTCAGAGTTACAGAGAGAGAGAGAGAGAGAGAGAGAGAGAGAGGTCTTCCACCTGCTGGCTCACTCCCCCAGATGGCTGCAGTGGCAGTGGCTGGCCCAGGACCAAGCCAAAAACCAGGAACATCACCGGAGTCTCCTATGAGGGTACAAGGGACCAAGCACTTGGGCCATGCCCTACTGCTTTTCCCAGGCCATTAGCAGGGAGCTGGATGAGAAGTGGGACAGCCAGGAGTTGAACTGGTGGCCACAGGGGATGCCAGCATCCCAGGCAGAGACTCGGCCTGCTACGCCATAACGTCAGCACCATTTGTTTTTACTGACAAAGTTATGAAATTAAACATACTTCTGCCATTCTCCCTTAAGAGTAGATATTATTTAGAAAAAATGAATGATGGGATTGGTGGCTCTGGTTTGGCTGTTTTACATGTTAACTGTGTGAATGGGAGGACTTTGCCTCCTCGATAAGTGGAGCACTTCTACTTGGGTTTTCATTGTCTGTGGGATGCTGGGAGTAGACGTTAGCCCCCGTGGGGCCAGGGAGGCATGAAGAGTTAGGACCTGAGCCTGTCAAGGCTGGGCACAGAGGATGCACAGCCCAGTGGCATGTTGCCTGCCCAGCAGAGCCCCCACTTGGGACATCGCCAACTGCCAGGGCTGCCAAGGTTTAGGAATTTTCCGTTCTAAGAGGGCAAGGAGGCAGCCAGTCACAGAAGAGAAGGCTTTATTTTAGGGGGAGATAATGGAGGGGTACAGAAGATGGGGGTTCAGTCTGTCTGGACAGAGGTCAAAGAGGGGTTGGCGCCGGGCTTGGTTTCTCTGGAGGGCGCCCTGTCTTGAAGGCAGGCAGGCATTGTCTGGGGCCAGAGGCTTGGAGGCAGGCGAGGTGGAGTCAGGCCCTTTGTGAGGCTGGAAGCTGGGGGCGCGTGGGCAGAGAAGCAGGCGGGCGGGCAGGTGGAGCTGGGGCGCCCCTGTCACCAGGTGTGGTCAGGACGCCAGGCTGGGTGGAGGAGCCCTTTGGCTGAGGCAGGCAGGGTGGGAGCTCCTGTCCATCATTCGGGCTGGAGCAGGCGCCCTGTTGATTAGGCCAGCGTGTTGGGGGTGCCGCTTTCATTGTATGCAGGCTGGGGAGCCTCTGTCGTGGCGGCAGCTGGGCTCAGGCTTCCCCGTTCTTGAGTTGGTCCAGGTAGCAGCACCCTGATAGAACTCCAGGATGGGGCACCCCGGCAGAATCATTGGAGGTTAGGGTGCCCCTGTCACAGAGTCAGTAGAGGCCAGAGCATGCCTTTCTTCGAGTTAGTCCACGTTGGGGCACCCCAGTTAGTCAGGAAAGGTTGGAGTGCCCCACTCAGATGGAGAGGTTGGGGCACCCCAGTCAGAGTGCGAAGAGGTTGGGGTGCCCCAGTAATATTGAGGAGAGATTGGGGTGCCCCATTTGTGTAGGAGAGGTAGGGGCACCCCATCATGTAGTGGAGAGGTAGGGGCACCCCATTAGCTATAGGAGAGGTGGGGAACCCCATCATGTAGTGGAGAGGTAGAGGCACCCCATCATGTATAGGAGAGGTAGGAGCACCCCATTATATATAGGAGGGGTAGGGGCACCCCATCATGTATAGGAGAGGTAGGGGCACCCCATCAGCTATAGGAGGGGTAGGGGCACCCCATCATGTACAGGAGAGGTAGGGGCACCCCATCAGGTAGAGGAGTGGTAGGGGCACCCCATCAGTCATAGGAGAGGTAGGGGCACCCCATCATGTATAGGAGAGGTAGGGGTACCCCATTATGTATAGGAGAGGTAGGGGCACCCCATCATGTATAGGAGAGGTGGGGTACCCCATTATGTATAGGAGAGGTAGGGGCACCCCATCAGTCATAGGAGAGGTCGGGGCACCCCATCATGTATAGGAGAGGTCGGGGCACCCCATCAGTCATAGGAGAGGTCGGGGCACCCCATCAGGTAGAGGAGAGGTAGGGGCACCCCATCAGTTATAGGAGAGGTAGGGGCACCCCATCAGTCATAGGAGAGGTAGGGGCACCCCACTGTATAGGAGGGGTAGGGGTACCCCATCATATATAGGAGAGGTCCGGGCACCCCCTCAGGTAGAGGAGAGGTCGGGGCACCCCATCATGTATAGGAGAGATAGGGGCACCCCATCATGTATAGAAGTAGGGGCACCCCATCATGTATAGGAGAGGTAGGGGCACCCCACTGTATAGGAGGGGTAGGGGCACCCCATCATGTATAGGAGAGGTAGGGGCACCCCGTCAGTCATAGGAGAGGTCGGGGCACCCCCTCAGGTAGAGGAGAGGTAGGGGCACCCCATCATGTAGAGGAGAGGTCGGGGCACCCCCTCAGGTAGAGGAGAGGTAGGGGCACCCCATCATGTATAGGAGAGGTAGGGGCACCCCCTCAGGTAGAGGAGAGGTAGGGGCACCCCCTCAGGTAGAGGAGAGGTAGGGGCACCCCATCATGTACAGGAGAGGTAGGGGCACCCCCTCAGGTAGAGGAGAGGTAGGGGCACCCCATCATGTATAGGAGAGGTCGGGGCACCCCCTCAGGTAGAGGAGAGGTAGGGGCACCCCATCAGTCATAGGAGAGGTAGGGGCACCCCATCAGGTAGAGGAGAGGTCGGGGCACCCCCTCAGGTAGAGGAGTGGTAGGCTGATTCCCGTGCGGTGGGGCAGTCCTCTTGAGGCGCTCCTGCTCGTGATGCAGTCGGGTCAGGCACAGCTCTGGGTCTTCGGGTTGGATCCCTGTGCCCCTGTCGGTGCTTCAGGTGGGCTTGGGCTCTTCTCTGTGTGCAGAAGCCTGCATCCAGACGCCGCAGATGTCTGACAGGTCTGGTGGGTTGTCCTCCCAGGGAGACTGGCAGGGCCATAGTGCCCCTTTGTGAGGCAGCCGTTGTGGTGGTGTGCCTGCTGTGAGACTGGCAGAGTCAGGGTGCCCCTAGTGAGGCAGGTGATGTCACAGGTTCCCTTCTGTGAGGTAAGCAGAGCCAGGGTGCCCCGTGTGTGAGCTGTCGTGTGGTTGGCTGAGGAGAAGGAGCCCACGCTCCTGTTGCCTGCTGAGAGCCCCTGTCTGCTGGGTCCATTTTCTTGCTCTTTTAGTCCATAAATAAAGATGCGTGCTCCTCTTTGTACCTAATGGGGTACAGTGAGGCAGTAGAGGGACTGCCCCGGGCCCCAGACCATTCGGGGATGGGGCAGGGGCCACTTCTGTTCTCCACCCCTACTCAGCTTGGGGCAGCATGGGACACAGTGTGGGTGCTATAACCTATTTGTTCTGCTGTATTATTCTTTTTTTTTCTTTTTTTTTTTTTGACAGGCAGAGTGGACAGTGAGAGAGAGAGACAGAGAGAAAGGTCTTCCTTTTCCGTTGGTTCACCCCCAATGGCTGTTGCGGCTGGCATGCTGTGGCCGGCGCACCGCGCTGATCCGATGGCAGGAGCCAGGTGCTTCTCCTGGTCTCCCACGTGGGTGCAGGGCCCAAGCACTTGGGCCATCCTCCACTGCCCTCCTGGGCCACAGCAGAGAGCTGGCCTGGAAGAGGAGCAACCAGGACAGGATCTGGCACCCGAATGGGACTAGAACCTAGTGTGCTGGTGCTGCAGGTGGAGGATTAGCCTAGTGAGCCACGGTGCTGGCCTGCTGTATTATTCCTGAAGCTGCATTTGGCAGAGGTGAAAGGACTTTGGCCAGTCACTCCTACTCAGCCTGGCTCCAAGAGGTGAGGTCCCCACATTCAGACGTCCCCAGCACAGTGACTGATAAACCCATTAGGATCTGTCCTAGAGGTTAGCAGCCCAGCATCTGGAGTCAGACTGGCCAGAGGTGGAACTCCAGCAGGACATTTTCCCTCCTGAAGCCTCAGTTTCCCCATCTGTAACCTGGAATGGATGCTCCCCCAGCATGTCTGAATGCTCTCACGATAAGGGCACTGAGGCAGAGCTGGGTCCCTTTCTGAGAGTCTGGAGCATGGAGGGGAAATTGGAAGTGGGAAATGGCCGATGGCAAAATGTCAGGAAGCACAGGCCTGTAGAAAGACGAGGAACGGTTGAGAAAGCAGTGTTGGGCATTATTTTTTTATGGAGGAGTTTTTATAAAAATTTTACTGTATTTTTAATTGACAGACAATGCCTGTATAAATGTATGGGTTGCCATGTGACAGAAGAGCAGGAATTATCAATTACTGGAGTCCTACCTGGTATCAGACAGATGGTGCCTTTCAACTCCTGGTGAAATTCCAGTTCGAACAGGATATTCCAGTTCCCTGAAGGCAGCAGAGAGGGTGGGTGGAGACCCCACCCAAATGGCAATCACTTTAAGTAGCACTCTGGCCTCAGAATCAACCCTTAAGACTTTCTAGTCTGGCTCGTTCTGGCTTGGTGGCTGACGGCACCCAGGGCTCCTGGCCCTGGCAGAGCCAGAAGGACCTGGAACCCCAGGTGGCCCAGGGAGCAGAGGGATCTGTAGCCTCAGGACTGCCTGGTCTCTGAGGAAGCCTCCCCTCCTCCCCCAGCCACTCCTTCCTCGTGACGGTGAATGCTGGAGACTCCTGGATGCTCAGAGAAGCCACTCTGTCAGAGGCAGCTCCCTGGGGTGTCCCTTTTCCCCAGCGGCACAGTTATGGTATTACTCAACATCCAAAATAATGCTGAACCCCTGATGGCAACCGTGTGCCTGGAGCGGGGGCACTGGAAACGTTTGCTCGTGCCAGCACAGAAAGGCTCGCCGGATGGGGTGCCCTGGGCCCTCTCTTCCTCTGCTCCAGTTCTGTGACTCTGGGAGAAGTGGCTTTTCCTGGGTCTCACAGCCTGTGGGATCCGAGGGATGCAATAGGGCACATTCTTCTTCAGGTTCACTGGGAAGCCATGGGAGATGAAGCCTGCATGTGAGGCTCTGGGCCTTCCCCACGTTACTTCACCTTCTGGAAATCATAGACAGCAACAGGTACCTCTCATGAAATGCTTGGGTTTGAGAAGCAGGTGGAGCTTGGGGCTCTGGCTGGAGGAAGGCTGACCTCAGCTTCACCAGGGTGGTCTTCAAGAAGGGGGCAGGTCTCGTTGGCACACATGTTCTCCCAGACCCAGCCCTGGCCTGCTGCACATCCCTGGTCTGCCTCCCAAAGGGACCCCTGCAGCCTGAGCCTCCCTTTCTTGGGACTTTGTCCACTGTGCGCTGTTCTCCTGCACCTGGCTTTCTCCCTGCCGAGACACCCTCCCCCAACCCCGTTCCATTGCCCCGGACTGCTTTCCCAGACACATTAGCAGGGAGCTGTATCAGAAGGGGAGCAGCCAGGACTCGAACCAGCACAGCAGGCAGCAGCTAAACCTGCTGTGCTAAATGCCAAGGCCCTGCAAAAGTTTTGAAAACTGAAGATTATGATGATAAAAATGTTGCAGAATGTAGAAGTTGAAAAATAGAAAGAGATGAAAAACAGAAAGAAAATTAAAGCCAAATTTAGATCCCAGATGTGAATTACTGGAGTTCCACAAAGAGACCTGAAAGAAAACATAGAGGAAGAAATCCTTACAGAAATAACTCAGGAAAAATGTCCAGAATTGGAGGATCTGTGTTTGCAAAATGAAAGCCTCCTTGAGAGTTCAGGGCGCAGCTTGGTCAAGTGGCCACAGGAGCTGAATTGGCAGAGAAAACTGCTCACAGGCCCACAGCAGGATCCACTGTCCAGTGCACACAGGAAGCAAACTCCCACCCAGACCCTGGGGCTCAGTGTCCAGTGCTCTCTGGGGCCCTGCACCTCCACTGCCCACGTGGGTGACCTGGTCCCTGCCAGGCCCAGGCTGCCTCTGCACACAGCTGGTTTTTCTGTCCTTCATGGGGGCTCAGGCTTATGGAAGCAGAGACCAGGACAGGGACTCTTAGCGACGTGTGGTGGGTCTGCAGGGAGTTTGCTCAAGGGAACCTGGGAGAGAAGGAGAAGAGGCAGGGAAGAAGCTCCCAAGTGTATGGTGCAGGGTGAGGAGAGAACCACAGCCTGTTCTGGGCCCCTGCAGCAGAAGATACACCCCGCCTCTGGCCTGGCCCCTTTGGAGGCTGAGAGGGGCTTGCAGCTCCCTCCTGCCCGCTCCAGCTTCCACTGGCCAAGGGCAGGCCCCCAGGAGTTCAGGTATGAGCTCTTAGCAGACAGTGCCCACAGCAGTGGCCTGGTGCAGGGTCCCTGGGTCTGTGTCACCCTCCTGGCTGTTTTCAGCCTCTCACATCTCTTGACCTGTGCTGCACTAGCCTACTTCTGCTTCTTGTCTGGCCTTCAGAATTGGACGTGAACATGATGGACTTGATCCACAGTTTCTGACATGAACACGATGCGATCTTGATGCACAGTTCTGAGACCCCGGACTCGTTGATTCCACGCATTTGACAAGGGCGTATTTGGAATTATCTCTGCGTGTCTGAGACAGGCCCAGGCAGAAAGGCTGCCCCTTGCCCAGACCAAGCCGAGGCTGCCTGACTTTCAGGTCAGAGCCGGTTCACTGGACTGTGCGTTTCTGCTTATGTCATGTGTCAGGACTCTTTTACTAAGATTTCTCTTATTAATCATGATCAGACATGATTGCTGAATTCAGTGCTCACAAGAAAGTTGTGTCCCAGCCAGTAGTCCCCCATTCTGTGATTTATGTCTGAGATTAGGACATGGCTTTAAGCCAGAGAGAGAACCTGCCTGAAACCTTCCACAGTTTTACATGTGAGCCTTCTGGAGTTCATGTATTTATTCTTGGCAAGTTGCTGCTTCCTGGTTCTTGGAGAGTTGCTGGCTCGTTTAGAAGAAAAACTCCTTGAGTAGCTCATAACAGAACAATCTTTCGAAGTGTAAATGAGTAAGAAGCAGCAGACACATGCTAAAATACGCGTGAATGTAATCGTGGAGGGAACAGCCACTCCAGGCACGTGAGTGCACGAAGCACTGAGGCCGAGGGCTTGTGCCCCAGCACACGCGGGCATGGTAGCATCTTCCCTCTGTTGGGCTCTGCTGGGCCATGCACCAGAAACCACGGCCAGGCCTGGGCGCCCTTCACACCGTCTCCCCAGCGTGGTGCACTGCCAGGAGACGTTCCTCCTCTATCCACATCCAGACTGGTCAGATTACCTGCCGGGGAACTCAAGAATCCCTGGGCCAGGAGAGTGTGGCCGTCGGCTTCGTGACTGTCCTGTGCCACTGGGGACGCCTGCTTTCCTGTGTTTAGCACTTAGCCCTCTGAAGGTTGAGTACCCTCAGGGAGGAGTCTCCTCAGAACAGCAGAAAGCAGCTTTTTGTGCTCTGTTTTGACCTTCAGCCGTGAGGAGGCCTGCAGGTCTCTGCCCTGGCCCGTGTGTCCACTCCTAGCCCAGGTCCAGCTCAAGACTCAGTGTTCCTTAACCGGTCCCTCTGTGCTGTATGTTGGAGATAGTGGCTTCCCTCCTGACTAGCTGGCTCATCTGTGGAAGCAGAGAGCAGAAGGCGGCACTGTCCAGCTCCTGCAAGCTCAGTGTGGCTGTGCTGACCACTGGTTTCTTTTTATCACCTGATTTCCCCTTTTGCATGCCCCAGGGAGAGGATTTTAAATTCTCTCTGCGATCCTTGGTTAACATGGCTCCCACGATGACTTGGACTTGGTTTGTCCCCTGCAAAAGCTCATGTGTTGGAAGCTTGGTCTCCGGTGTGGTGAGGCAGAGGTGGGGCCTAGCAGAAAGTGACAGGGTCGTGGGGGCTCCGCCCTCGAGGATGGGATTGGTGCTGGGCCCACAGGAGTGAGTGCATTCTGGCGCGAGCAGGTTTCTGAAAATCAGGGTTTTCTGGTGCTCACCTCTTCTGCTCACAGCGCGCTCCCTTTCTGCTCCTCTGTAGTGTTG